ACTAACAATTAAAATTGATCTGTAATCGATCCTAAACACCTCTCTACTACACGGTTATGCAAAAATAAAACAACACCTGAACAAAGTATAACTAAGCACGTGAGGCCTCTAGCGATGGAAATATACCCTCCAATTTGCATTTGTATGCTGCAAATACATGGTACACAAACTGTTAATAAAATGAATATATACATAATTTCTATGTTATATATATGTGTGTGTGTATATATATACCACCAAGAGCTTCTTTATCAGTTGTGACGCAAAATTCTAAACGCCCACTTTCTTTTAGGAAGCTCAATTCTGGACCAACTATCGGATATAACATCCTACAAATAATTGACACGTGAAGCTTTTAGTGTGTGCATTTTTTTAAACGATTCAGGAAACTCCTAACAGCTGTTGTGCTCATAGCTAAGTGCATGCATTTCCAGAGAATGGAATACCTGAGCTTATACAATCAAACTTCATAAATAAATTTGTTTTCCTAAGAATCACAGAAGTGGGTAAAGGTAAACTTATCATTTGTGCAAGGAGGTAACTCATCAGATGAAGCAGAATCAATAGCCGGTGTATTTCCGACTCTAGGTTGTGGCTTAACCTTGGGTTGAAACTTACGAGCTACAATGAAAACAAAACCAAATGATTAATCTTTTCAGTTATATGAAGTAAATTTACAATAACACTAATATCACTAACCATTCCCGAAGCCAGGATCCGGGAGGACATTGCTAAAAGGATCCAATTCAATTTCGGCAGACAATACCTGGAAACAATATACTCTATAAGTTGACAACACTACACCCATTTGAAACAGTAAAGCTACGTAAAAATGATCCATAAAATTCAAAATCGTACCTCTCTCACCTGTCCAAACTCAAAATTTAAATGAATGTTACTCTCAGGTATTGCAATGTTACTTTCTCCTGAAACCGTTTTGAAGCCCTCATTTAAGCTAACTTCCAGTAAATTATCAATAACTTACAAACTTTTGTCAGTATGGAGAAATGAACCTTCCCCATTTTTAGACAGTTCATCCATCCTAACTATGGTTGAGGTGATAGTAGATGGGGCATCCACATTATTCAATTGATTATCTACATCAATAGCAAGGTGAACTGATTATGTTGTCACTAAATCACATGATAGAAAGGAAATGAATCAAGCAGAAAAATGGATATGAGTTTAAGTGAATATATATTACAAAATCAATTAATTCAAAATCATTTTTTTTCACAGTAGAACCAAACACATGTGTTGTACCCTAATTTTTGCCCCTAAGATCCCTTTATCATACCATGTTGATTCACTCACAACAAGATCACACTAGGATTCTTGGCTCCCCTCCCTACATTTAGTTTTGCCCTTTTTGAGGGATTACCAAGCACCTTGACTTATGTTCCTTTTGTGATCATGAATATTGTTTTTATTTCTTCATTTAACTAATAAAATGTAATGTTGGTTTGTCTTGCTTGTTATCCATGTAGGTGAAGGCAATGAGATTTAACAAGCTACCCCATGGGTTCATGAGTTTATTTCCATGCCCTAGTCAATATAGCTTGAGAAGTTCAAACCTCACTATTGGATTGGTTTTGTAAAAATTGGAATGGCAAGGTTGCTTTGGTTCATCACATTTCAAGGTTATTAGATTTGACTCAAAAGTAAAAGGGGTTGATTGGAGAAGTTGTCATGTTTGGACAAGGCCTTGTTCCTATTGGTCACAAGAGCATATTTCTATCAAATTTTAAGATATGGAAGTGGTTTTGGTGGCTATGAGTCCTCATTATCATCCTCAACAACTTCTATTCACAAAGCAAGAATGCTGGTACAAGAAGTTTGTTCAAGATTGTCAAAGTTCCTCAAAGCATTTTCTTGACCTAGGAGCTAGGGTTTTGAACTTTAAAGGAGTACATCTTTCTCATCTTTTGGTATTTTTGAGTGATTCCAAAGATATCTTTCTCTTAAAAGGGTTATTAACAAATCACTTCAAAGGTTCCGAGGAGTTTTCATAAGGAAGAGACTTGATGAGGAAATAAGATTACAAGTCCTCCAGATGAGTCCCCAATTTTCCATATGTGACTTAAAGTGGTCATAACTTGGTCAATTTTCATCACCTTGAGTCCATTCTTTTTCCATAATTATCTTGAAGATGTTAACTTTATGCCTTCTTTTATATGCAAAGTGGGAAAATGGATGGAAGTTTCCTTAAAGATGCAAAAGATTATAGGTCATTTCATGATTTTTTGCCAACTTCAACAAGTCATAACTTGCTCAAATTTTGGATATTTTGTATGATTCAAGTTTCAAAATGTCATTCATGAGATCTAATTCATTCCATATTTTTTGGTCAAGAGCAAATTCCAAGTGGAAGGCCATGTTTGGATGCAAGACATTATAGGTCATTTTTGAAGAAGAATTTGAAATATTTCTAAGTATGGAAAGTCAACCTTTTTTCTCCAACTTTGACATAATGCAACTTTCATCTCAAGCATCCATTTAACTCCATTCTATTTCTATTGCAAAGCTTGTAACCTCATCTTTCTAAAGCATCAAGAATCATGCCCTAAGACCCCTTGAGTTGAAAATGCCATTGGTCAGAAGTTGACACTTTGAAATTGAATTTCTCACCAAGTCAGAATTTTGAAATCCATAATGTGGCCTCTAATCACAAGGATTGGGAATTCTATCTTGGCTCATAATGTCAAGTATTGGCTTTTTGTTGGTTAGATGATTCTTATCCCTAGCCTTTACCTTATGCTCTAGGATAGTCCCTTCTTCTCTTCCCATCTTCTTTAATTTCAAAAATCTTCTTCCCCCTTTTGAAAACCCTTCTTGTTTTTAAACTTGAACCACTTTCATAATAAACTTGGACTTATGTCCATGCATTTTCAAAACAGTTTTTTCATAAATAAACTCCAATCAACTTAATAATACCTTGACATTTTTTGTGAGAAGACTAAAAGTCAATCAATCTCATTTAAAACCATTTTGCCACTTTGGCTTTTATCTTTAAACTTTTCTCAAAAAAGGTTGAACTCTTGTCAATCCTTGTAGTGATGCAAACAACTACACTTCTACAATATATAGTGAAGAGAGATATTTTCCACTTGGGTGTTGAGTGAGACATTGTTGATTTTAAAATCCAAGTCATATCCTCCACTTTGAGATGATGCAAATTCTCCTTTCTCATGATTGTGGGTAGTAGGTATTGTTTCCACACGGACAATGACGATGATGTTTTATCTCATAAAATTAACCAACGCATTTGTGTTTCAAATTTTTAAAAGAGGAACTACGTGTACCATGATCCCCTATTGCACGAAAAGGTGGTACGTAGGCACTAAAGGTTCGCAACTGCGGCGGGTGCAAAAATTATAAAAATAAATGTATTTCTTTCCTCACCTCCACCATCCATTTTTTATATACAACATTTTTTATAGCAAAAAAATTATACAAATTTTACAAAGAGGCTCCTGCGGAGTACCGTGTGTTTAGAGTGCTAATACCTTCCCTTTGCATAATCAACCCCCTTACCTTGAATCTTTTCCCCTCTTTTTGGGTTATTCGCTCTTTTCTCATTCCTTTGGAAACAATAAAGTGCGGTGACGATTTTTATTTTAATTTGTATAAAGTCTAGTCAATCCAATGACTTAGTCTTGAACATTTCTACCGCTATAACATGCTAAACATTTCTAGATAAAATCACAAAACCATAAAATCAATATCATATTTGACTGAATCTGGCTATTGTACTGCTGCAAACTAATATTATATTCTTATGATCGCTTGTACAGGTTCTCGGTTGCAATGACCTGCAAAAATCAACAATAACAAAAGGACTGAGGGAAATTATTGAGGTAACCTGCTGTTAAAATCAATATCCTGTGACCTGTGGGACTTAAATATTTAAGAAGTAACTGTAATATCATATTATTACCTCCCGTTTCCGTTTTGTGGGAGAGGAAGAAACAATGTTGGAAGTAAGGGTTTTGGGGGTTAGGGTTTGGAAGAAACGGGGATAGTAGGTGGATGGAGAAACAATGTGGGGGTTGTAGGAACGATTTAGAACGCACACAAAATAGGAAGAGAAAGAGAGATGTAGAGTAGATTAATGAAAAACGTAACCACCATAGAGAGATAATGGAATGAGGAGAAATGGAAACGAACGGTTGTGGAGGAAAATTTTGATTGGAGTAAAAATTTGATTTGTCTAACACACATGAAGTCACATGTTGTGTTTTTAAAACAAAAGGACAAAATATAATTTTTAGGTAGAATAAATTTTCTTATATTATAAATAACTTTTTAGATTATTGATTTTGTTAATTTAGCAATTATATCCGATCATAAATTTGTGATTACTATTTTGTTGATAAGAAAGAATAATGTGACATTTTTTTTTTTGAGAAGATTAATGAATAATGTGACTTGACCAACTAACCAACCAATAGTTTATTTTTATTCATTTATAACATAATAAATTAGATGATAAAGACGTGTCTATCCATTTCACAAATTGACAAAACACTTTAACCTTTCACAAAACACATAATTATATATGGAAACAAATCCACAAAACGTAAACGGCAATAATCCCATTCATTACAATCCGCGTATAATCCACAACATCCACCTCCCAGTCCGGTAACCGGTCACCTCTCACCTCTCACCGCGTTCCCGTTCCCTTAAAAATCCACAGACTCGCCATAACCGAGTCACACTCCGATTCATGGACTCGTTCTTCTCCACTTCTCCATAGAAAAAACACGCAAAATCATGATTTCCCATTTTGCCCCTCACCGTCTCTCAATCACTTCCGCCACCGCAAAACCTTCTCTCGTCGGCGCAAACCACACCTCCGCCAGATTCTGCTCTCGCTAGAATCTCAAAAACCATTTTCTCTTTTTTCCCTTTCTTTTTCCAATTTTATTCATTTTTTATAGAATTTTTCTGATTATTATTATTATTTTCTGTAAAAAAAAAGTGCACAATCTGTTACAATGGACCCTACCGTAGGCAAGCATGGCTCCCTTCGGAACGTTCTGGTTCGGTTACTTCTCTTCGGCGTTTTCGTTGTTATTTTCAGATTTGCTTACGTCATCACCATCGCCGGCGAAAACTGCAACGTCGGAGATTTCTGTTTCTTTTCATCACCGACGAAAATCAACGCCGCCGTCGCTGGATCTGGTCCCGGTTCCGGCGCTCTCTCCGTCCGATCCTCTGCCGAGTTATCCACGCCGGAGAATCAATCGAGCAAGGAATGGATCACCGGCGTTAGATTCTACTCATCGATTTTCCAGAATATGATCGCCACCGGTGATCTTTCGCGCAATGCGAAGTCGCTTTGCGTAAATACCCCGACCGGGAGGGATGTGTACGCGTTGAAGGAAATCGGTGTTGAAGATACCGTTGGAATTGCGAAGAAGGCGGTGAAGTCGTTGGTGAAATCCGGTGAAGGTCACTGGATTCCGTTTGGTAATAATACATTCGACTTTGTGTTTTCCGGTGAGGGAGGTTTGGAGAGATCGATGAGGCCGTCGGAATTCGCGTCCGAGATCGCGAGGACGCTGAAACCCAAAGGGTTTGCAGTGTTCCATGTAAATGCTAAAGACTCATACAGTTACAATTCATTTGTTGATTTGTTTAAATTTTGTTGTGAAGTGGTGAAATTCCATGACATTCATGGTTTCGATTCGTCAATGCCGTTAATAAGAGAAATCTTCATGAAGAAAATTGGTTATAGAGAAACTGATTCTGAATTATTTGATTTGAATCGGGATCAGAAATGTTCTGTTCCAGATTATAAGAGAGAATTGGTTAAGAATGCTGAGGAATTGATTGAGGAAGAACCATTGAAGCCATGGATAACCCTAAAGAAGAATGTGAAGAACATAAAGTATGCACCTTCAATGGTTGATATAAGCTTTAAGAATAGGTATGTGTATGTTGATGTTGGAGCTCGAAGCTATGGTTCGAGTATTGGAAGCTGGTTTAAGAAGCAGTATCCGAAACAGAATAAGACGTTTCATGTTTACGCGATCGAGGCTGATAAAACTTTTCATCAAGAGTATGCGACAAAGAAAGGGATAACTCTGTTGCCTTATGCTGCATGGGTTAGGAATGAGAGTTTGGTTTTTGAGATTAACAATGACCCGGGTGATAAGAAGAAAGAGAAAGCAGGGAGAGGAATGGGAAGGATTCAACCATTGGATTCACAAGGTGGCGCGGGTGGTGGTATTCAGACGACTCAAGGGTTTGATTTTGCGGAATGGTTGAAGAAAACGGTTTCGATGAATGATTTCGTCGTGATGAAAATGGATGTGGAAGGTACGGAATTTGATTTGATTCCTAGATTGTTTGAAACCGGGGCGATTTGTTTGATTGATGAAATTTTTCTCGAGTGTCATTATAATAGATGGCAGAGATGTTGTCCGGGACAAAGAAGTCCGAAGTATGAGAAAACTTATGATCAATGTTTGCAGCTTTTCAGTTCTCTTAGACAAAGTGGTGTTCTTGTTCATCAATGGTTTTAGTGATAGAGTTATCTCATAGGTGAAATGGTGAAAATTCTTTACACTTTTATGTAGCATTCTTGTTTTACATTTACAATCCAATAGAGAAATTTGCTTTTTTTTTTTATAATGAATTTGTTTACTTGTAACAATTGCAAGTGAAAATGAAAATCAGCCCTTTACAATAATTTTATTTGTTACATATGTTTCTTCTGTTTTATGATTTTTGCATTTTGAGAACTCTGCAACTGTGTTGTGTGTTGTGTTCAAGTGAGGTTGTATTAATCACATTTATAGATAAATTGTATACAATATCAAGAATCACAATGTGATTGTAATCATGATTGGAAGTGTCACAATTTTGTAACTTGTGATTGCAGTTATAATTTAGAATTTTCTGTAGGGGCAAATCTGATCAATTTTTGTTTGTGATTTTTCAAAACACACGGTTCTATTATTTTCTTGTTGCTTAAAACACTAGCTATGAATATAGCTACCTTTATTTTTCCTTTCTAAGCTATGTGAATTAGGGTTTTTAGCAGGCGTCTCAAGGTATCCCGAGATTTGTATATTGATTCTGCTATGAAAAATCATCGAGTCACCAACGAGACAACAATGAGACAGTTGAGTCTTTTTTTATACGAGATTGAGCTGTGAGCTGTGACCTAAATGGTCGACAATGAGACAGTTGATTCTTTATTATGCGAGATTGAGCTGTGACCTAAATTGATGGGCGCCTCCAGAAATCGAATTCATATCATCTTCACAGAAGAAAGATTTGTTATCAACTCTTCAATACCATGTTGGGGCTAAAGGTAACTTTCAAACTTGAATAGTCCTATCTGTTAAGTGTATGTTTGTTTTTCTTAGAATTGATTCTGGATGTGTAGAATTGATTTTGTTATGTTTAGTTGCTATTGAGTAGAATTGATTCTACTTGAAGATTCAATTCTACTTGAAGATATAATGTGTAGTTTTAGAGCGCGAATGTGATTTTTACAATGAAATATGAAATTTACTGTTTAACCCATTTGAATTCAACTCACTTTTAGTTAGAATCAATTTTGCATACCCAATTCAGTCGGAATCAATTATTTTCACATCGGCACCAAACACATACATATGTGGTTTGTTAGTTATCTAAGAGGTTTTGATGGATCAATCTATAATAGAAAGAAAGCAATATGTCATTAATTGAGCAGCCATGTGATGTGAGCAAGTACAACTGTTTTAATGGAGCTCTCTTCCATTTCCAGCTATATGATGGTTGTTGAAACGTGATTTTTTCTTTTCTCTTTGACTCAAAAACGTGATTTTCTTCAAGTTGAGTTTCTATGCATTTATTGATAGCTAATAATAGCATATGAAATGTCTAGCCAACATGCAAGACAAAACAATTTGATATTAATACTTGATTTTTAAGCCGTCACTTCTTATAACCGAAACTTTTTCCTTTTTTTGTTTGTCTATAATGATAAGACAATTATCAATTATGTACCTAAGCTGAGCATAAAACATCTAGTGTCGTATTATCTTGTATTCAACAAAGTTAAACTTGGAATGAAATTAGTTATTTTTAGTTATAAAGTCATTTTATTGTCTCTCAAATTGTACATTTAGAATTCGAATTCGATTTTTGATGAGAATAATATTTGGTTGATGTGAAGATTTTTCAGCATGAGTTTTGAATTACTAGGGCATCATTCCTCTAGGAATCAGAGCGGAAAAAAAAATACATTTAGAATTAGAGTTCTCAATCTAAATCAATTAAAAATTAGTATTTTTTTGTTTGGTTTGGTTCAAAATTGAAGGAAACTCAATTATTATTGGTTTGAATATTAATTGATGATTTTGAGATTAGTAATTTGGATAGAATTATGAATAGATAAAGAAAAATGCTAACCAGTGTCTTCAAAACACTTTTTAAGATTTTAAAATAGTAAAATTTTCTTAAAAATGTGCGTAATTAATGTCTTAGAAATTGAAATGATTAAATTTTTTATAAAATATTTTTTTTTATAAAAACACTTAAAGGATGTCCTGAGAGCATTGGTTAGTATGACCCTTAAATAAAATATGATGATAAAAATTGACTCATGTAATCAATTTTATTTAGCGGGATAAAACTTAATTGTTGTTAAATATCATTTATAAGTGATAATTTAAAACCCAAATCGAATTATTATATCTGGTCTTCTTTTTTATATTTATATTTCTTGTTAATAAAACACATATATGGCTGTGATATTTATATATCAACATCTAAAATAGTTTTTAAAAACAAATGATTGAAGAGAATTATATTTGTTGGTGTCATATTAGTTTCCGACTTTAACAAACTTTAATATGAAATGCCTATATTTGTGATAGTTAGTCTAACAATAATAAAGTCTTAATATTTGTTGACAATAACTTTGGATAACTTTTCCTTTATAGGAATGAAGAAACATGTACTCGACATATTTTCCTACTATTGTATGTGTGGTTATATTAAAGGTTCATGTAGTTGAAAAAGGAGTAACTTCGTGTATAAGAAAAGGATCAATGATAGTAAAGACGGAGACCAAATTTCTCGATTACAAGTTGCACATCATTATCGATTAGACAATTTAGATTTGATGTTGATTTCAAGGGCAGGGATTAGCACATAAAGGAAAAGGAAAAAAAAAAATTTGTACTTATATATGGTAATTATTCCATGAAATACAAACCATGAATAAAGAAATATTATTGAAAAGTTGGACGAGATAATACCGATTTTAGAGATTCAAAAGACGATCTTAGAATTGATTAATTTAAGATTAATTCTACTGTTTATTAGTGGTTATGATCTTAAAAACGTCTGTCTTAAATCTCAAGACTTCACTAACGAACTAACATTTATTTAAATCTTTTTTTATTTTTAGTTATTCGACTTCTCTCCTTTTAATATACTTTTTTTATAACACTTACAAATTTTCTCTTGATATATAAAAACTACCTAAGTCTATTTATTATAATCTTTTTCTACTATAGCTACTAGTGTAACCCCTCTTTATAATTTTGTCATATTTATCTTCACTTGTATAGTCTCATCACATTTAATGCAACATCATCATTCCAATTACACTTGATTTATTCTTATGTTATTTTATATCGTTCAACATTATGAAGTGTACAACATCACATGTCTTATTGTTGTCCAATAAAATTATCTTTTCAGCTTGAATGATACTTTTGTTTTACATAAGACCCCTGAGTCTTCTTCCATTTCAATCACCAAACTAGAATCTGATGGTTTATATTTTGTTCGAGAATAAAATGATGATAAAAAAGGACGAGTTAGGGTTGGGTTGTAGTGGAGCTAGATTTCAATGCGGCAGAGAAGAGATGACTTGCAAGATTAACACTCAAACGCCCAAGTCAGTGAGAGAAGTGAATAATGTGATATCAATGGGGAGCAAAACTCGTACCTCAAAATGGCACGTTCATCTCCTTTAAACATGGAAATTTGTTGGTAACTGAAATGAGAATGTGAGTTTGTGACGTGGATACCTGTTGGATGGATCTAGACAAAGGGATATGTGTCTTGTTGGGATATCCCTCCTATTTGGAAAGGTCCAAATGGATGTGGGTTAGTGGCCCATTTATGTCTATGTCTTTGTTATTACACAACAAAGAGAATTAGGTTATTCATTCATTGTGCGAGAGAAAAAAAACAAGAAAAGCTAGAGAGAAAACCCTATTTCCGTAACCCCAATTCTGCACAAATCAAACCTAGAAAATTGGAGTTTGCACAAAATCCAACGGTCAGATCGTCCTAAAATTTTGACATAAAGTTCATGACTCATAGGAGCATATTCTGAGTGGCAGAGATTGGATTCAAAGCTTTATAAGTCGGTATGCCGAGTCCATTTTTGAGGTTTGAATTTCTTGGTGTTTTTGAGTTGTTTTGTCTCTCTTGATTATTGTTGTATTCTAAGATTGATTACAAATCTTGATGATGTTTATGTATGCCTTTAACTAGTGTTAGAGAGAGTTTTGCTTGTACCCATATTTGATTATAGTGTTAGAGCGAATCAACATTTTTCTCAAACACATTAGCATCCACACACTGATGAATGTAGTACAACGCCATTTGATCCTTCTTCCTCGTATCTCTTTGTGTGTTTCTTTGTTCCTTTGTCTTCTACTATAACCGGAATGTAACCTTTGGTCACGAGATCAAGAACATCTTGAGTATCAAACAACGCACACATCCTAATCATCTAGTGATTCCAATTCTTTCCATCAAACACTTGAAGCTTTGTATTCAAGCCATTTCCGTCGTTTGTAACACCCCGATTTTTATTTATTAGTTATTTTATTAGTTACTTATTTTATTAATTATTATATGATATAGTAATTAATTAATTGTGATTTGGTGAATATATATGTTATATGTGTATTGGGTTATTGGGTGTGAGAATAACAAAACAATTAATTAGTCTTTGTATAATGGGTTAGTATGAGAATGAGACATTAAGCCCATTAGTGAAACATAAGTTTTGATAAAAACAAGAAAAAATAGAGTTAGTAAGAAAGAAGTTGTCAAAACAAGAGAAAAGAAGAAAGATGAAAAGAGGAGAAAAGAGAAGAGCAAAAGATAGACCACTAGAAAAGAATCTACATCCTAGGTAAAGGTGGGTTTTCATTTAATTATGCGAGTATGTAATGTATGTAATGGATAACTACATGATTTATGGATTTTGTTCTTCAAATTCTAGTTTTGACATGTTAGGGTTTGAATGAGAAATCATGAAATTGATGTTCGAATCATGTTTTGATGTTTGTATTTGATACTACATGTTAGAGATAAGTTATAATGCAATTAATTACATGAAAAATGGTTGTTTGGATGAATTTTGGGGATGAAAACTGTGGGAACCTAAGACTGCTATCGCAGGAAATTTTCTCTGTTTAACAGAGGACGCTTAGCACCGTGGGTCGCGCTTAGCACAGTCTAGAAGGAAAAGTTTTATATTTTGATTAATTGATTGGGG